GCTCAGTCGGTTGAGTGTCTGACTTTGGCCCACGATCTCACGGTTCGTGGGTTCGAGTCCCGCATCGGGCTCTGTGCTGACAGCTCGGAGCCTGAGCCCGCTTCGGATTCTGTGTCTCCCTCTCGCTCTCTGCCCCTCCCCCACTCCGTCTCTCCATCTCCCCACAATAAACAAACATTAAAAAAGTTATTTAAAAAAAATGCACAAATAGGGGCACCTGGGTGGCTCAGTTGAGCGTCTGACTCTCGATTTTGGCTCGTGATCTCGCAGTCTGTGGGACTGAGCCCCACGTCGGGCTCCGTGGTGATGGCCAGAGCCTGCTTGGGATTCTCTCCCCCTCGGTCTGCCCCTCCCCGACATGTGAGCTTACACACTGTATATGTCATGAGTTACATGTGAGATAAATTGTATATAACTTTGCATACATTGTATGTAAGTAACTTGTACGTCATATATAAATTCTTTATAGGTCTATATTTCTATCCATCTATCTATGGATTCTTTATATACACATACACAGAAATGTTTAAAAACGAGACCGGGACCACAGCGTATTAGTGTCTTGCAACCTGGGTGTTTGTTTTGACGATAGATTATGATTTTATGATCGTATTCTGCGAATAAATAGAGGGCTCAGTTGAAGACGACGTGTCCTCTTGTTTGGATGAGCCATGAGCAGCTCACCTGCCCCCTCACGTCCACCTTCTCACCAGCCCGAACACCCTGCGGGGGACGGTTTGCGCTCTACCTTTGCCCATACGCCCCATCCCTTCCTTAGGATAAACCCATTAATGTAGAATTGAGTTTTGACTGACAGAGACTGCCCATTTTTAGGGCTTTTAATGTATTTTACCCAATTAACGCTCCCACGCACAGTGCTGGAGAGTCCCTGTTCCCTTTACCTGCCCATCCAGGTGCCACCGTTCTTTTTTTTTTTTTTAATGTTTGCTTATTTTTGAGAGAGAGAGAGAGAGAGCATGCTCGAGAGAGAGTGGGGGAGGGGTAGAGAGAGATGGGGAGACAGAAGATCCGAGCCGGCGCTGACAGCAGATGTGGGGCCCCCGAACTTATGAACCGTGAGATCACGACCCGAGCCGAAGTCAGACGCTCAACCGACTGAGCCCCCCCAGGCGCCCCACGACCCTTCCTTTGAACCTGAGACGAGAGGCTTAAACTAAGTGTGGCTATATTTTGTCATTTACCAAGTATGTTAATAATAATCCTCCTTTTTTTTTTTTCTCCCATTTGTTTTATAAAACCCCCCAAGGGTGAGCGGAAAGAACACATTGTTCCCATTTTCTAGAGGAAAACCAAAGTTCAGAAGGAGGCAGGGTCTAGAGCGCTGTCTTGCCTCCACGTCACCCCAGCGAGTCGTAGCGATCAAAGCCTGGGCGTGTGCCCCGGGCCACACCTCTGCCAGGTTCTGTGTAGGTTCCGCTGAATTTTCATAACTACCCGAGAGGTGAGGTTTAAAAGACTCCCCGTTCCAACGTTACGCCGAGGCCCGGAGAGGCGAGTAACTCCGCAGGATCTCAGGCGCCTCGTCCGTCCGTGGGGCTGGTGCTGGACGCGACCAAGCTCGTCCTCTTGGCTCCCTTCGTTTCCAATTCAACGGTAGTAATCGACTGGCGGGCTTGGGCCACCTGGGAGGATCTAGAAGGGCATTTTCCTCCCTAACGGGTGGGTCTCAGTGTTACTGGCAGAGCCCTTGGCTTCTGGCTTCCCCTCCCGTCTTGTCCAAGCCCGGTCTCTCCCCACCCCTGCACATCTGGACGGTGCCCAGAACGGATTTGGCACTTGTTTTCCAGTTCACTGTGTTCTGTGAATACTATTTTCTGCCATTTCTCATCTGTCCATCCCTGGAGAGTGGGCAGGGAATTGGGGTTAATGAGCTGTTTTGCTGATGAAGGAATCTGGGTACCAAAAGATTAAGTGGTTTACCCAAAGTCCCCGAGCAAAGAAAGGGCACAGCTGGTCCCGGGCACAGGCTGCCCTCTGTCCAGGGCGTGAATTCATAAAAGTGGTGGCCGTCGAACCATGCCCCTTGTGTCCTTTTGTTGAAATAGTTTTTTTGTTTGTTTCTTAAATTCTGATAAAATATACATAAAACTTACCATTTTAACCATCTGAAAGCCTCCAGTTTAAGCATATTCATAGGGCGGCCATCACTACTGTCTGTCCCCAGAATTCTTTCATCATCTCAACGTGAAGCCCTCTGCCCCACTTCCCATTTCCCTCTTGCCCAGCCCCTGGCAACCACCATTCTGCCCTGTGGCTCAGAAATCGCCTGTTCTAGAGACGTCGTGTAAGTGGAATCACACAGCATTTGTTCTTCTGTGTCTGGTTAATTGCATTTAGCGTAATGTTTTCAGGGTTCATCCTTGTTATGGTATTATCACACTCTGACTCCTTTTTATTTATTTATTTTTAATTTTTTATGTTGTTTGTTTTTTATTTCGGAGCGAGGGAGTGAGGGAGCGGGGGAGCGGGGGCAGAGGGTGGGAGAGAAAATCCCAAGCAGGCTCCACACTCAGCCTGGAGCCCGATGCGGGGCTCGATCCCATGACCCTGGGATCATGACCTGAGCCAAAATCGAGAGTCAGACGCTCAACCAACTGAGCCACCCAGGAGTCCCA